GCAGGGAGCCCGATGCAGGACTCGATCCCGGGACTCCAGGATCATGACCTGAGCCGAAGGCAGTCGCTTAACCAACTGAGCCACCCAGGCGCCTGGTTTTTTCCACTCTTATAAGAGTTTATCACTCCAAATTACTGATACTCTCTCCTAGATTTTCTTTCTAATACTTCCATTGTCTTATTACTCTGATACATGTTTTTGTATATGGTATGAAGTTGGGAAGTGTATGTGCTTCTTTTTCCAGCTGGTTGGGTGGTTATAGTAACACCATTATTTAAATATTTGAAATACTATGTTTGACATAGATATAAATTTGTTTTGACCTCTCTTCCTCTGGTCTATGGGTTTCTTGTGTCAATATTAAAATGTTTTTATTACAGTAGCTTTATTAAAAGTGGTAGGATCTAGTAAGACAGGTTCCCAGTTTTTGCAGTTCACACATTCTTCCATATGAACACCAACAATTTTGTCCTTAAAAAAAATTTTTTTAACAATTTTGATTCTGACTGGAATTAAATGTAATTAAATTAAATTAAAATATATGTAATTAAATTAATTAAATGTATGAGATAATTTGGGGAGGTAAACATTTTCTATACCATGGCAGAATTTGTAAAGTAAGAGATTAATGCTTTATGAGTTATGATAAACTATAATAATTATGGTAAGTTCACATTTAAAATTTGATTCTCTGCTGTTCTTTTTTTTTTTTTTTTAAGATTTTATTTATTTGAGAGAGAGTGAGCAAGAGAGCACAAGCTGGGGGGAGAGGCAGAGGGAGAAGCAGACTCTCCACTGAGCAGGTAGCCCAATGCAGGGCTCGACCCCAGGACCCTAGGATCATGACTTGAGCCAAAAGCAGACGCTTGATCGACTGAGCTACCCAGGCGCCCCGATTCTCTGCTGTTCTTATTCACACTTAGTGCCTATTGTTGGAATAATAGGTTCAGAATAATTTGTAGTGGCAAGCAATATTCTAGGGTTCTTTGAAACAGTTTTTCATGTAATAAAATGGAAAAGAATTCCATTAGTTAAGATTTCTGTTTTTCAAGAACACAAATAATGATTCTGTGTACTGAGGGAAAAGATCTATTCTGGATGTTGAGCTTACAGAAATTTTATACTTTTAACCCTTCTCTTCAATCTTTAAATTTAGAAGCGATTGTTGGAAGCCATGGAAACATGTAACCACTCCCTCAAAAAGGAAGAAAGGAAAAGAAACCAACATAGTGAGTGCCTAATGTGCTGGTATGATAGAGACACAGAGTTCAGCTACCCCTCACCATGGCCAGAAAAGTTCCCTGCCATAGAACGTTGTTGCACAAGGTAATGTTATTTGGTAATTTTTCAACAATAGCAAGGAGCTCCCCTTGGGGGGGAAGAGAGAGGAGGGGGAAGCTTTGAGTATCTACTTGGAGAATTAATAAATAATTTTTGATAGTTACAGTCAGTTGATAATGAGTTACATCCAACTTGCCAAAGACCATAGCATCTCCCTCTCACAACTGTAGTTCTCTGCTTTGGTCAGATTCTTCTTCTCTCTCTCTCTTTTCTGTTAAAGTTGGGTTTTTTGTTTGTTTGTTTTTTTAATTTTTCCTCCCTAGTGTATATCTGTATCTTCCCCACCTCAAGAGGATATATGAATTTTTGTTTCCATTGTCAGTGTCTGCTCCTAGCATTATTTGATGTGCTATGACTTTGCCTCTTACATTCCCAACCACCCAACCAGAAAGAAGAAAAAAAGAAATAAAAGAGGTCCTATAATTTCTTGCCTCAAACCCATTTCTACTTTCTCTTCCTCATTAAAATGTCCTTTTTTTTTCTTTTCTCTCATTTTCGCTGCATATGACCCAGATGGCACCTAAAGTGAACATCTCCCAGTTATGCTTTTCCTTTTTGTTAAAGCAAAGAGAAGGATGGAATAGACATTATAAAATGTTGATTTTCCATCTGGGTTATAGAACATGGGAGATATGGAGATTTGTAACATGCTTTATATGTTCTTTTACTTCTAAATTAAATATATATATATGTATAGTTTTATTCTAAGTTAATGGGGAAAACTTCCATTCAGTAACCCATAGGCGTAGTTGCATCTAGCCAATTATAATAACAGAGAATCTGGGTTGCCCTGCTGTATATTTTCTTTGTCTTAAAAGACAAATTGTCATTCCCTTGCTTAAAAGCAAGGATGACTCTTGCAAAATATTCAAGGGAATACTGAAAAACTGTGATTGCTTGCAGTGTGTGAATTTTGAATTAAATGCTTTGATTTATTTTCTAGGTATAAAATAATATCATTAGATGCTTGGCGTGTAGACATAAGCAAGAACAAAATAACCAGGGTTGACCAGAAGGCACTGTATTTCTGTGGATTTCCTACCCTGAAACACATCAAACACAAAGTCAGTGGCTGTTTAGTTCAGAATTTTTTTACCTTATTGAATGTAACGTGATTATGGAGAAAGAATTAAAATTAAATTCTCTGAATTCTTTTAAAGTTTTTTTTGAAGAAAAGTGGGGTTCAAGTATTCCAGCAAAGCAGTCGTGGAGAAAACATGATGTTAGAAATCTTAGTGAATGCAGAATCAGTTGAACTTGTAAGTATTTTCTTTGTTATATATTTATTAAGTGTTTATTATACATAAAACTATACATAAAACTGTTCTTATTATACATAAAACTGTTCTAGTTGCAATTTACCAAAGAGATATAACATGTAGTAATTCCAAAAGTTCATAGTAAATAAGGAAAAAGGAAAGAAATATTTACACAAATTTTAAAGGAAATGTATAATTGTGATGTAATGAGCAAAAAGTACTCCATGAATTTTGGAAAGGAGATAAGCTGTGTGAGCTGAAGATTAAGTACAGGCTTGTAAATGAGACTAGGCTTGAGCTGGGTGCTAAGAAAAAGATTATCACAGGGAGGAGAAAAGTAGGGAAAGGGTATTCTAGTTGAAAGGAATAACCTGAGCTGGAAATAAATGTGTGATACATTATCATCTTATTCTTTTTAACCTTTTTGTATGTCTGAAATTTTTCTTAATACTCTTTCTTTTTTTAGAATAAATGTGATGTATTTGAGGAGAAAGAATAGATAAACCTGACTGAAGCAGAGGACTTGTGTTGGGAAGTAGTAGAAGATAAGGTTGAAAAAACAGATTGAGGCCAGATTATGGAGGACCTTGAATACCAGGCTAAGGAGTTTGGACTTTTTTTTTTTCATAACTGTTATCTTGAAATCGTACTTTCATAAGGATTAATTTGGTGGCAATATAATAGACTAAATTGCACAAAAGAGAAATGGAAGAAAATGGAAAAGCCTGCAAGTTCAGAGGTTGTGGTTATAGAAGTGTTAGGTGATAAGGACAAAAACTGGAAGTAGTGATAGATCTGGATGAATAAGACTAATAAAATCGACAAGTTTCATCATTTGTTCAAACATAGAGGATGAAAAGAGGAAGAAAATACTAAATATGACTGAGATATCAAGCCTGGTTAACCAGAAAATAATTGCTGTTTATTGGAATAAGGAAGTTAAAGTGGGAAAGTCTCTGGCTTGAGGGGATTAATGATAAATAATGATGGAATTTTAAGGCAATGCTAGGATGCTTAACTGGTGCTGCCCTGCCAGCCTTTCTCAACAAACAGTTCCACAAGAGATTTAAACCCTAATGCCCTAAGTCATCCATTTGAATGTAGTAGATTAATTTATATTCTGTACATTTAGAGTGGGACTAGTTGTGTACCATCCTTTGGAGAATTGAGAAAATAGTCAAGTTATTTTTTGTGTTCTGTGGTTCAGATGAAAAACCTCAGTGGAGATAGGCTGCTTATACGCAGTTAATACCTGGAGCTAGAGCTTGGAGGGAAGTAGGGATATATGAGTCATTAGCAAGGGGTGATGGCTGAGGCCTTGGGGCTTATTTTCCTGAAGAAAATTGACTCTGAGAGTTCAAATCTCAGCACGAAGAAATACCCATAGTGGAAAAGGAACCAGTGAAAAAGACAATAGTGTTCAGAGAGGTGAGAGAGAATGATTTCTAAGTTAGGTAATATCACAGAAGCATGAAGTAGATACTACATACAGTGCAAGAATAAAAACTAAAACAAGGTCTGTGAATTTGTCCTTCAGGCATCATTATTGGCCTTTGAGGATTTCATTCCTAACTCCTAAGAACTAGTTGGTGGGTCTAGGTAGATGGAAAGTAGAAGTAGCAGGAATTAGGCCCTTGGTTAGGAAGATTATCATTGAAAAGAAGTCTAGAAACATAACTGTAGGTAGAGAAGAGACAGTTTAACAAGCTAAATCCATACAAAAGGAGAGAGGTAGAGCTAATGGAGGAAGGAGGTCTTAAAGACACTAGAGGGAAGGAATCTTAATGATAACAAGACCCCATGTGAGGTATTAAGGGATCTCGTTTTAGGCTTAATCTGAGGATTAATTTGAGAAATGACTTTTCCTTCAAAAACTAAAGGGAAGAGTGGGAGAATGAAAGAAGAAATAGATGTATAGAAGGGAAAAAGATAATTATGGGATCCTAGCTCTAATGTTGAAACTTGTTTTATTTATCAGAATAGTCATTCTTTTGTTTTATATGTTCACATTAAGAGATGTCTAAATATAACTAAGTTACTGCAAAAAGTCTAAAAATAGTCATCTGTAATTGTTAAAGAAATATTTGCTAATAATGATTAAGCATAATAAACAGAAAAGAATTGAATGAGAATTTGTATTTAAATTTCAGTTGCTACCACAAAGTTGTTGTTGTTTAACCAATAATAATGATAATGTTTCCTTTTAAAACCAGAATTTTTACCTAAGGTATTATTTCATACAGAATATTTATACAGCATTTTATAGTTTATAAAAGCTTTTGTGTATATTATTTTATCACCAAATAAACATTGTGAGGTAGATGTTATTTCTTATTCTCATATAAGAAAACTGTGCCTCAGTGGGGTTTAAATGATTTGCCTACGACTCAATAGCTGGAAAGACATAGAACCCAAATTTGGACCCATGATTCCTAATTTTAAATCTAAGGGTTCTTACTTCATTATGCCAACTACAAACTGAAATGAAGTCAGATTTCTTAGATTCTGTTATCTGATTATGTGATATGAAACAATGAATAATAGCCCTTTTCTAGACATTTCTGCTATTCTTGTCACCTTTCTCAGTCTCCATGAGAAAAATAATCATGAGAATGATAGGATTGTGGAATTTTACAACTGGGTAGAATTTGTAAAGCATCTATTCCAACTCATTAATTTTACAAATTAAGAAACTTAAATGGAGTTAGCAGCAGAACTAAGAACCTAGGTTTCTTGCTAAACATTATTTCTAGTAATGTTGGCTATTATTATGGACAGTAATACATTACAGGTCAGTGCTCTTCAGTATAATTTCACTGAAACCTATTTTCTCACCAAGTAATTTCATTCAGGATTAAAGTCAGTGGGCCACCCTTTACTAATAAGTGCCATTGCTGTTGAGAAGAGGAGGAGGCAAGCTTCCTGGTGTCATAATGTTTATACTGCAGAATAGTACTTTCAGTAGGTCATAGTTCCTGTCTCATAAGAAGGGATTGGCAGAGGGGAAGGTAAACTTGGTCAGCTTTAACAGATTCATACTAAAATAAAGGGTTAAAGAAAGACATTTCTGCCAAGAAGACATCCAAATGGCCAACAGACACATGAAAAAGTGCTCAACGTCGCTCGGCATCAAGGAAATCCAAATCAAAACCTCAATGAGATACCACCTCACACCAGTCAGAATGGCTAAAATTAACAAGTCAGGAAATGACAAGATATTGGCGAGGATGCGGAGAAAGGGGAACCCTCCTACACTGTTGGTGGGAAGGCAAGTTGGTGCAGCCACTCTGGAAAACAGTATGGAAGTTGCTCAAAAAGTTGAAAATAGAGCTACTCTATGACCCAGCAATTGCACTACTGGGTATTTACCCCAAAGATACAAATGTAGTGATCCGAAGGGGCACGTACACCCCAATGTTTATAGCAGCAGTGTCCACAATAGCCAAACTATGGAAGGAGCCTAGATGTCCATCAACAGATGAATGGATAAAGAAGATGAGGTATATATATACAATGGAATATTATGCAGCCATCAAAAAAATGAAATCTTGCCATTTGCAACGACGTGGATGGAACTAGAGGGTATTATGCTAAGCAAAATAAGTCAGTCAGAGAGAGACAAGTATCCTATGATCTCACTGATAGGAGGAATTCTTAATCTCAGGAAGCAAACTGAGGGTTGCTGGTGTGGTGGGGGGTGGGAGGGATGGGGTGGCTGGGTGATGGACACTGGGGAGGGTATGTGCTATGGTGAGCACTCTGAATTGTATAAAACTGATGAATCACAGACCTGTACCCTGAAACAAATAATACATTATATGTTAATAAAAAAATAAGGGAAAGGAAAAAAAAAACTCTAAACAGAAATCCTGGGAAACGTACTAGAAAGAAATAGAGTAGTTAGCAATAAAGGTACAACTTAGACAAGACAAATTAAGAAAACTAACTGAATTCAAGTGGGTGGAATAATTAGTTGGAGAGTAAAGTTGAGAAGAGCAGGAACTGTAGGGAATAAATGGCTTGAGTGAGCAAATGGTATTTTATATCTGTTTTAATGATTAAGGTGAGGTTTTTACTGATTTTAAAGACCTTTATAAACACAGCCAGCTTTTAATTATTTAATTTTGCCTTTGTAAACTTCTCCCTTGGACCTGAAACATGAGTGAACTTTTCTGCTTTTACTTTAAGAGTGTAGAAAATATAGCTTCATCAGTGCTTGGAAAGTCTGTCTTTGTTAATTGGCCTCATCTTGAAGAAGCTAGAGTTGTTGGTATATCAGATGGAGAAACTAAGTAAGTAAGAGTTGATGTATATTTTTTAAATTCATATTTGTTTTGCTTACTTGATGGCTTTTAATGATACTTTTAAAAACTGATATAATTACTGTAAAAATATTTACACTCTATAGTGAAAACAAAAGTCTTCTAATCATATCACTCGATGTTCAACCATAGTACATCGCTGAAATATTTTAGATGCATTTATCTTTTCCCTTTTGCTTTCTTTTCCTTTTAATAATGTGAAAGTTCTATATCCTAATCTTTTGCTAGCAGTTATTATTATTTAGCAAATATATTTCTCTAACAAGAATGAATAGCATATATAACCTGACCTTTACCATGCCCCTCCCAGATTTCATTTATTTTTTTAAATTTTTTATTGTTATGTTAATCACCATACATTACATCATTAGTTTTTGATATAGTGTTCATGATTCATTGTTTGTGCATAACACCCAGTGCTCCATGCAGAACATGCCCTCTTTAATACCCATCACCAGGCTAACCCATCCTCCCACCCCCCTCCCCTCTAGAACCCTCAGTTTGTTTTTCAGAGTCCATAGTCTCTCATGGTTTGTCTCCCCCTCCTATTTCCCCCCATTCATTCTTCCCCTCCTGCTATCTTCTTTTTTTTTTTCTTAACATATGTTGCATTATTTGTTTCAGAGGTACAGATCTGTGATTCAACAGTCTTGCACAATTCACAGCACTCACCATAGCACATACCCTCCCAATGTCTATCACCCAGCTGCCCCCTCCCCCCCCCCCCCCCCGACTCCAGCAACCCTCCGTTTGTTTCCTGAGATTAAGAATTCCTCGTATCAGTGAGGTTATATGATACATGTCTTTCTCTGATAGACTTATTTCGCTCAGCATAACACCCTCCAGTTCCATCCACGTCGTTGCAAATGGGAAGATCTCATTCCCCAGATTTCATTTAAATAATACATCAGTTTTTAAAAATACATAGCTTCTATTTAAGAAATAATTTATTTTATTCAAGTTCACGATCATTTTGTCAATGATTATTTAGACAATTTATTCTTTGTTATCTTTTATCTTTATTTCATGTAAATTTAGTCTGTTGTTATTTTGTTATTTTTCATGTGTCTAGAACCTTTAAAAGTAATTTTTTTCAGAGAAAATTTGCATTTTCTGAGCCATTACATATCCAAGAGATCATTTTTGTTTTCCTCACACATAGGTTTAGAATTTTAGAGGCCCAATCCTTTTTCCTTAGTTCTCTGCAAGCATACTCCAGTTGTGTTCTGTCATATAATTTTGTTGATGAGAGATCAGTGCCATTATGAATTTTTTTCTTCTGTGGGTATCTGCTTTTGTTGAGATATCAAGAAATCTTGAGAATTCTTTTCTTTTTTTTAATCATCAGAATTCAATTCCCCTCCCTTTTTATTGAAGTCCAGTTTATCAGTTTTTTTCTTTTACAGATCATACTTTTGGTATAAGAACTCTGCCTAACCCTAGGTCCCATAGCTTTTCTCCTATATTTTCTTCAAAAAGTCTTATAATTTTACCTCATCCTTTTACATTTAAATCCATGATCCATTGTGAATTAATTTTTGTATTAGGTATGAGGTTTAGGTCAAGGTTCATATATTTGCCTATGAATGAATGTTCAGTTGCTCCAGCACCATTTGTTGAAAAGACTGTCCTTCCTCCATTAGATTGCCTTTACACCTTTGTCAAAAATCAGTTGAGCATATTTGTGTGGGTCTATTTCTGGCTTTTCCATTTTGTTCCATTTATCTGTATGTCTGTTTTTATGCCAGTACCACCCTGTCTTGTTACTGTAGCTATATATAAGTCTCAATGTTAGGTATAAATCTAACAAATTACATATAGGATCTGTATGCTGAAAAAAGCAAAACACTGAGGAAAGAAAGATTGAAATAAATGGTGAGATAAATGGAGATCCGTTTGGATCAAAAGACTCAACATAGTGAAGATACCAAATCTATAAGTTTAAAGCAACGCTTATCAAAATCTCTCCCAGATTTTTATAGATGCAGAACAATGTATTCTAAAATTTATATGGAAAGGCAAAGAACAAAAATAACAATTTTGAAAAATAAGGTAGAAGGAATCACTCCATCTAAGTGTTTAAATTATTTTGGAGCAACTATAAATGATACTGTGTTTTAAATTTTAGTTTCCCCAGCTAGTATCTAGAAATACAATTGATTTCTGTATGTCGACTTTATATCCTGGGACCTGGCTGACTAAGCTTACCTCCCTGCCTCTTTTCTTGAAGAGTCCAGACCAATTATTTTGTAGAATTCTGGATTTACCTGGTTGTCTCCTCTTAGTGTCATTTAACTTGGTCCTCCATCCCATATATTTCTTGCCAACTGGAAGTTAGGTATAATGGCTTGATCAGAATCGAGTTAAACTTTTTAGCAAAAATACTTTATTGAATTTAAGCGTATTTTTTTTAATTCTTTAAAAATTTATATTATGTAGTTTTTTTTAAGAGAAAATAAAATTTTTATATTTGAATGAAAATTTTTACAAGTCCTTGTTCTAAAATTTATGTTACAGTTAAAAAAAAAGGACACCTGGTTTTGTGCTGTTATACAATGTAGAAACCTTTCCATTTTGAAGACTTATACTGCTAGAACACTATATTAAACCATAAATTTGTGGGTAATATAATTTTAATTTTATTTTAATTTTTAAGATTTTACTTGGAAGAACCTCCAGGAACACAGAAGCTTTATTTGGGAAGAACTGCCCCACCATCTAAAGTGGTCCATCTTGGAGACAAAGAACAATCTAACTGGACAAAAGAAGTACAAGGAATTTCAGAATAGTGAGTGTCATAAATATATTTAATGTCATAGAACTAGAATGTGATCTAATGTACTTGTTCTCAAGCTAATTTCCTGCTTAACATAGTAATCACTATGAATACTGACTACATCTTCATTTTATGTTCCAAAGAAAACAATGAGTTCTAGTTTAAAATAACACCTGATTAGGAGCTATTATAGCCTTGCCCAGTTTGTCACTAAAATACTTCATGATGTACAAAAAAGGGTACAATCATATAATACTAGGAATAACAGTTAATAATAGTTAATAGGTTGCCATTGAATTTCTTGGCCACATGTAAGTAATGAAAACAGGAAGGAAAATTTTTCTCTGTTCCTCACCTGCTCACTCTCCTACCTTCCCTGCTCATTCTCCTACCTTCCCTACACCTAAGTCCCTTATGCCCCTGAATTCAGAAATGCTAGGTCTATACCAGCCAAATAACTAAGACGCTAGCCCTCCTCCATGATCCCACCATGACTTACCTTTCTTCATCCAAGTACTAGAATTCTCTAAACCAAAACAGAATAATAGAGACTGGCAATAGCACATGGAATGGTGTTAGAAATGTATATCCATTACCCTTCCTGTTAAAACTATGACATCCATTGGTAAATGGGGAATTTAAGGAGATGCCTCTTATACAATTTTGGAACCAATACCAGGCTATAATATCCTTATTCAAAGATGAGTAAACAGGGAAAATGTAAAAAGACAATAAAAAACCATCCAGTGTAGGATGGATGGCGTAGTCAGTTAAGCATCCATCTCTTGGTTTCAGCTCAGGTTGTGATCTCAGGGTTGTGAGATGGAGCCCATGTCAGGCTCTGCACTCAGCATGGAGTCTGCTTGAGATTCTCTCTCCCTCTCCACCTGCCCCTCCCCCTGCTTGCACTGCACACACTTTTTCTTTCTCTCTCTCTCAAATAAATAAATAAATCTTTAAAAAAAAAAAAAATCCAGCATAAAACGAGATAAACGTAGCTCTCGGGAGGTAGAGCTATTTTTGCCTTCTGACAGTACAAATTAGATATCCCTGTCATAGTTCATACTATACTGAATTTTATTTTATAGTTCATAAATAAAAATCACAATAATAAATTTATTTGTGTGATTACTTTAATGACCATTTCCTTAGATAGTATGCTCCGTAAGGGTAGGGACCACATCTCTTTTTGTTATTACTCTGTTCTCATTCCTTGGCTAATGCTAAAGCACTCAATGAATATATATTTGTTTAAGTGGATAGAGATTGTTTTGTTCAACTCCTTTGATTGAAAAGAAACTCCTTCAGAATACTACAAGAGTTTAGACATTTGTTCATGTGTTCAGCAATTATTGATACTTGCTAGGTTTAGTAGTTGGCACTGTAGATACCATGGTGAATAAAATCACACAGTCCACACTCACCCATAGCAGGAAGGGAAAAATGAAGGGGGGAATCAGAGGGGGAGGCGAACCATGAGAGACTATGGACTCTGAGAAACAAACTGAGGGTTCTAGAGGGGAGGGGCGTGGGGGGATGGGTTAGCCTGGTGATGGGTATTTAAGAGGGCACGTACTGAATGGAGCACTGGGTGTTATATGCAAACAGTCATGGAACGCTGCATCAAAAACTAATGATGTAATGTATGGTGATTAACATAACATAATAAAATTAAAAAAAAAATTTTTTTAAAAATCACACAGTCCCTACACTCATGAAACTTACGGCAGGTAGATGAGAAATGGGCATTAATGTCTTGTATGAATTTTTTTTTTTAAGATTTATTTATTTGAAAGAGAGAGAGCGCATGTGTGAGTGGGGGAAGGGGCAGAGGGAGAGACTATCCAAGCCAACTCCCACTGAGTGTGGAGCCCAATGCAGGGCTCAATCTCAGGAGCCATGAGATCAGAACCTGAGCCGAATCTAAGAGTCAGACATTTAACTGAGCCACCCAGGTGCCCCATCTTGTGTGAATTTTTGATCAAACTGTAATTATGATAATTGCTTTCAAGGAGTAGTTCTCTGAGACCATATAAAAGAGGAGTTAGACTTAGCTGAGGAGGCATTTGCCTTAGAGAAAACTTAGCAGAGGAAAATGTTGATTAAACTGGTATCTGGGTAGGAGTTAGGCAAAGAGTGAAAAGGGAGGATGTTTCAGGATGAGAGAAAGGTACGTACAAAGTCCCTATGGCAAGTGGAAAAGTAGCATGTGTAACATTAATGATAATGACCAATGTGGCTCGAGTGTTGGAACCAAAAAGGAACCCTAATGAGGAAGATGAGGCAACAAAGGAAAAAGAACGAGGCAATCTGAGAGGTAGAACAACCAGGAAAGAGTTACCTCATGCAAATCAAAGAAAAAGAGTGAAGAATAAGGGAATAAGTCATGTCAAATGTTATGAAGAAGATTAAGCAAGAGCTATTTTGATTGAGCAGTGGGGCTGCAAGCCAGACTAGTATGGGTGGAGGAATGATTGAGAGTAACAGAAATGGAGACATAATAGGAATAAACGACTTGAAACTTCAGTTGTGAAGTAAACCAAAAACTCTTGACCCCTTGTTCTACTTATTCTTTCCCATATGGATGGGCTTGATCTTCTATGATGGCCACAAAGAGCAGAGATAACAATGAAAGCAGCACACTGCTGCTGAAGTTGATGGCAATATATGCTGGTTCACACAAAAGAATGATTTTTGGTGCCTGCCTGTTCAGGATCTCTTGTTAACCAAGTAGAGTAGACAAGGCTATGTGGATTCATAAGCAGGTTTATTTATTCTGGTTACCACTTTCTTAGACTGCTTTTTTTTTTTTTACCACCATATTCCTCCCTCATATCACCTCACGTTTTGTCCCCTCCTCCTACACCTCCCCAGCTCTTCTATAATCTGTCTTCTAAGGTGACATTCACAAGGCCTCTCGTACTCTGCCCCTGAGGGTTTGGTTTACTTTACTTGTGATTTTGCACATTATATCAGCATGAGGATCTCATGGCTCTAATGATTAGGAGTAATGCTTATGCAGACCCTCCTTAACTCTAAGACTTCTACAGCAAGAATGTAGAACCTACTACTTATTTCACTTATCTCTCCATATATCTTACTAACCCAGACATGTTCTCCTAAGTTCAGTACATCATTTTTTTGTGAACGTAACATATGACATATTTCCATGAGTACCAAATTATGTGATTTTATTTTTAGAAACCCTCTAACTAAGTACATTTGACAGTGTTCGTACCTTTTTGTATTCCTGTGTAACAGATTTCCTTTCCGATGAAAACTACCATTAAGACATAGCTGAAGAAGGACTTTCTGTTTGGTTTATTCAGAGAGATAGGATCATGTGTAAAAACAAATGAGAAGAGAGGTGCAATATTCAAAAGAAAGAAAACAATATATTTGAAGGATGGAACAAGATAGATTCTTAAAGAATATAAAAGATAGTTCCTCTATTTTAAACAGGATGGTATACAAATATAGGTTGGTATGTTTGTTTGGCATGGGGCAGATGAGAAGCTCTCATTGGATGCCTTTTGTTTTCTTTGTAAAGTGAATGTTGAATTTAGCTATTGAGAATGGAGGCAGGGAAAGGGAGGTTGGTCTTAAATTTGAGTAAAGTAGGGCGCCTGGGTGGCTCAGTTGGTTAAGCGACTGCCTTCGGCTCAGGTCATGATCCTGGAGTCCCTGGATCGAGTCCCGCATCGGGCTCCCTGCTCGGCAGGGAGCCTGCTTCTCCCTCTGACCCTCCCCCCTCTCATGTGCTTGCTCTCTCTCATTCTCTCTCTCTCAAATAAATAAAAAAAAAAAAAAAAAAAAAAAATTTGAGTAAAGTAGAGGAGGTTTGAAAATAGTAGGGGAGCAACTGGCTGGCTCATTCAGAAGAACGTGTGACTCTTGATCTTGGGGTCTTGAGTTCGAGCCCCATATTGGGTGTAGAGATTACTTACATAAATAAATAAACTTTAAAAAGAAATAGTCCTTGGGGAAAATGGAAGAGTATCAATTGATCAGAAAAACATGTTTGAATTATAGGCAATATTGAGGGCCCTTTTTGAAGTTGATCAGTTACAGGCCTAGAAAAAGCAGAGAGATTTAACCAGCACTGGATTTTGCTAGATGGATATAATGAAAAGACAAAGAGGCAAAGAAGTTTAGGATATTGGTGGGAATGTTACTAAATAGTGGACAATGGAATCTAAGTGGGATAGTAAGAGAAGTAAAGAAAGTAGAAGGTTAAGTTAATAGTTTCAGAGAAAGTAGAAGGGTCAGTGGATTGGAGATCCCAAACTAAGTTAATCATAAAGTGGTTGAACAAACAAGTTGGATGGAGAAATTTTTAGACAATAAGATGTTGGGATTAATGATTTTGGAGGTGAAACCATTATGGGTGCTGTCATGACCCAAGTCATAGCCGTAGGATTAGATGGCTGAAGTGGAATGGAAAAAAAAGGTTATTGGCAATAAGGAGATTGTGAAACTAAATTCCTGAGGTCTTAGGTAAGTTATTTATGTAAACATTGAAGGCATTCTGGAAGATGGTGGGCATAAGGGTAAAATGGAAAAGAGTAGAGTAGTTTACTATGAAGGATTTGAATGTCACAGTGGGTTGTAAGAACACCAACACCCTCTCCTAGCCCATATACAGTGTGAAAACAAACAGCTACTCCTTGAGAGGGCTACACAGAGAATTGATGAAACCTTCAGTTAAAGAGGTTGCTATTGAGGATTTAATGGAGTGAAAGGGATTAGGAATTGGAGAAAGAAGATAAGAAGAAAGACACAAGGTGTCTTCCAAGATGATGCACTTGGAAGATAATTTGGAGTTCCAAAACCTTGTACCTCAAACAAGCAAGAGATGAATCAACCAAAAAAATGTGGTTACTAAAGGATTGGTGATAAACACCAATTATTAATAAATTATTAAAATACAGAATTATATTTTAAGTACTAACTCTCATTTTACATGAGAGAAAGTTAAAGCATAGTTTTATTTATAATTTAGAAAAGAAGAGATATAGTAAGTATCTTTAAAAATTTAATGCCCCACATCAGTTACCTTAACGCTTGGAACCTGCACTAGAGAGACAAGCCCCAAAACATCTGGCTTTGAAAACCAATAGAGCTTGTGTCCAGGAGAAACATAGAGCTGTAGGAAATGGAGATTCTGCTCTTAAAGAGCTCCCACGTGGACTCCATTATCCCAGGACCCTGGTAGGGTAAAAGCTGAAGTTTGTAAAGTACCAAGACCATATGGGAAAGACACTGATTTGCTAACCTTAGGTAACTGTTGGAGGGACAGGGGCCTGTTGGAATTCTTTCCAGGGACTGAGGCATTGACAGGTGCCATTTTTGCATTCTTCCTCTACCTTGCTAGTGCCAAAGTTGGCAGGTGCCATTTTTGTAGTCTCCCTATATAGTAAAATAACACTAATATAATGTTGTATGCCCAATTATACTTCAATTAAAAAAGAAAGAATACAGACTAGGGGCACCTGGCTACTCAGTAGAGCACGCGACTCTAATCTCAAGGTCGTGAGTTTGAGCCCCACACTGGGGGTAGAGTTTACTTTAAATAAACACAGGTGGGGCGCCTGGGTGGCTCAGTCGTTAAGCGTCTGCCTTCAGCTCAGGTCAGGATCCCAGGGTCCTGGGATCAAGCCCCGCATCAAGTTCCCTGGCTTTGCAGGGAGCCTGCTTCTCCCTCTCCCACTCCCCCTGCTTGTGTTCCCTCTCTTGCTGTGTCTCTCTCTGTCAAATAAATAAATAAAATCTTTAAAAAAAAAAAAGAATACTGACTACAACACTGACTCCAAAGCAATAAAAGTGTAAGGTAAAAGTAAATAGAGAGGGGTGCCTGGGTCACTCAGTCAGTTAAGCCTCCGACTCTTAGTTTTGGCTCTGGTCATGATCTCAGGGTCCTGGGATCTAGCCCCGGGTCAGGCTCTACGCTCAGCCAGGAGGTTGCTTGAGAATTTCTCTCCATCTCCCTCTGCCCCTGCCCCCCCCATACACACGTGCACTTTCATGTACTCTCTCTCTCAAATAAATAAATCTTATAACTCTAGAGATTAGTTTTTCCTATTTTGAACTTTGTATGAATTGATTCATACATAATGTATTCTTTTGGAACCTGATCTCTTTTCCTCAGTACTGTGGTTCTTAATATTCATCTCTGTTGTTACTTATAGTTTAGTTTGTTCATTTTCACTAATGATTACATTACATTGTATGAATATAGCACAATTTATCCATACTTTTTTGGATAGGCAGTTGTTTCTTGTTTGGGGCTTTTAGTGAATACATATGTATGCATTACTGTTAGGTACATAATTATGAGTGGAATTATTGCTTCATAGGATAATGCTTAAGCTCAGCTTTAGTAGATACCACCAAAAAGATTTACAAAGTGATTGTATCAATTTACATTCTTCTAGCAATTTATAAGAATTTCTTTTATCTCTACCCTCATCAGTGCTTATTATTGTCTCTTCCATTTTAGCCATTGTAATATAGTGATATTTCTTTTGGTTTAATTTGCATTTCCTTGATGAGCATCCTTTCATATTTCTCAGGCATTTGAATATGGTCTTTTGTGCAATGCCTGTTGCCCTTTTTCCGAGTTGATTACCCATCTCGTATTTGTTTTCGTTTTTGTTTTTAAGATTTTTTAATTTATTCATTTGAGAGAGAGAGAGAGAGCGAGTGAGCACGAGAGCATGAGCACAGGCACAAGCAGGGGGGAGAGTCAGAGGGAGAGGGAGAAGCAGACTCCCTGCTGAGCAGGAAGCTGACTCAGGGCTCAATCCCAGGACCCAGGGATCATGACCTGAGCTGAAGGCAGACGCTTAACCCACTGAGCCACCCAGGTGCCCTACTGTCTTTTATTTGTAATTTTCATTATTGATTTGTGATGTTATTTCAGAGAAAAGCCTTAAATAATTCATTATTAAATATGATTGCCATAGAGGTTTTTTTTTTTAATCAATATTCTTTATCAGATAAAGGAAATTTCCTTCTATTCCTAGTTGGTTGAGAGTTTTTATCATTAATCAGTACTGATTTTGTCAATTTTTTTCTGCATCTGTCAAAATGACCATATGATTTTTCTTTTTTTCATCTGGTGAATGATATTGATTGAATTTCAAATATAAATCTATCCCTGAATTCCTGGAGTAAATCCTATTAGACTATGATATATTATCCTTTTTATATGTAATTAGATTCGATTTGTTACATTTTGTTTAGGATTTTTGCTTTTATTTTCATGAGAAAGATTAGCCTATAATTTTCCTTTCTTGAGATATCTTTGTCATACTGGTAGCAAGATTACTGGCTAAATAACTTTTGAGTGAAAGTAGTAGGTTTTCCCATTGAATTTTTAGAAAATGGTAGTAGAGGGCCCCTGGGTGGCTCAGTCAGTTAAGTGTCTGCCTTCAGCTCAGGTCATGATCCCGGGGTCCCGGGATCAAGTCCCGCATCAGGCTCCTTCCTCAGCAAAGAGACTGTTTCTCCCTCTGCCTGCCACTCCCCCCTCTTGTGCTCTCTCTCTCTCTCTGACAAATAAATAAATAAATCTTTAAAAAAAAAAAAAAGAAAGAAAGAAAATGGTAGCAGAATGCTACATTTCAAAAATTTGTTGGAAAACTTCTGTTTCTTTTTTAAGATGGTGTCGCTTATTTCAGACCAAGGCTACCATTGAGAACAACATAAAAGTATCAGCTGCTATGAAAAAAACATATATATATGTATATATATATAATGTCATTCATCTATATACTATATAGTATATATTTTATAATACATATATTTATATAAAAACAAATACAAAAATTTAAATTATGATATAATGAGCTCAGTAGATGGTCTGAATAGTAATATAGGCATACTGAAAATTCATTCGGTGAGTTAAAAGATAAAAGCTGAGGGATTCCTTTAGCACATAATACAAAAGCACAAAGAGATGAAAAGAGTATAGTCAATTTCTAATATTTCTCTAATAGAAGTTCTAGAAAGAGAAAATGGAAAGGAGATAGAAAAATATTCCTTGGATGAAGAATGATTGTATCTTTAGATCAGAGGTCGGCAGGTTTTTTTCTGTAGAGGCCAGAGAGTAAATATCTTAGGCTTTGTAGACCTTACAGTGTTTGTCACAACCACTCAACTATGCTGTTGTAACACAAAAGCCATCATAGACAGTAAATAAGTTGATGACTATGTTTCAGTAAAATTTTATTTACAAGAACTGGAGTCAGTCTAGTTTTGTCTCATGACCGTAGTTTGCTGACCCCTACTTGAGATTGCAAAGGCCCACTGAATGCCCCTGTTAACCTCTTTTTGTCTTTCTGGATTCACCTATTCTGTATGTTTTACAGAAATGGAATCCTATATAATATGTGGCCTTTTGTGTCTAACTTCTTACACTTAGCATATTTTTTAGGTTCATACACATTGTAACATGTATCAGTGCTTCTTTCTTTTTATGGCCAAATATTTTATTGTATGGATATACCACATTTTGTTTATCCAGTCATCTCTTGGAAGACATTTGGGTTCTTTCCACCTTTTTGCTATTGTGAGTAATGCTGCTATGCACATTCATTTATAAATATTTGTTTGAGTACCTTTCCAGTTCTTTGTGTAATACCTAGAAGTGGAATTGCTAGACTTTTTGAAGAACTGCTAAACTGCTTTTCACAGTGAGTGCACCATTTTGCATTCCCACCAGCAATGTACAAGTGTTTCAGTTTCTCCACATCTTTTCCAACACTTGTTATTTTCACTTTTTTTTTTGTTATCCCCATCCTAGTGATTATGAAACACGAGAATTTCTTATAGCACTTAAACGAGTTCTCATTTAATCACACAGGCATTAGGAGAGGTATCCATACAGTAAAAAACTAATGCAAAAAAATTTTAAGTTAGGTACTCAGAACTGCTAGCATATTTATTTAAATTTTATTTAAATATTTGATTATGAGTTGGTAGTTTATCATCCTAAAATATATACATACTCATACATATCTACATTTATTTTTTATTCTTTCTTTTAGCTACCTAAGAAGAAAAGGAATAATAATAAATGAAACATCTGCAGTTGTATATGCTCAGTTACTCACAGGTCGTAAATACCAAATAAATCAAAATGGTGAAGTTCGTCTAGAGAAACAATGGTCAAAACAAGTTCTTCCTTTTGTTTATCAAACTATTGTAAAGGTAAGTGTCCATCAAATCTCAATTATATCAGGGCGCCTGGGTGGCTCAGTCGTTAAGCATCTGCCTTCGGCTCAGGTCGTGGTCCCAGGGTCATGGGATCCAGCCCCGCATCGGGCTCCTTGCTCCGCAGGAAGCCTGCTTCTCCCTCTCCCACTCCCCCTGCTTGTGTTCTCTCTCTGTCAAATAAATAAAATCTTTAAAAAAAAAAAAAACTCAATTATATCTTAATGTACACTACTCCCACTGTATAAAGAAAAGACTATATCATATTTAATATTTATTTATAAATAGAAGACATGCAGCAATGCATAATGGAGATTATGATTTAATATAATCTGAAAAAACTGTAGTCTTTTTTTAATTTATGTATAATTGACATATTGGTTTCGAAGTGTACAAAATGATTCAATATTTGTATACACTGCCAAATGATCACCAATGTAAGTTTAGTTACCATCTGTCACCAAAGTTACAAAATTTTTTTCTTATGACGAGAACTTTTAAGATTTACTGTTTTACAACTTTAAAATATGCAGTGCATTATTATTGACTAAAGTCACCACGCTGTACATTATTACATCCCAATGATTTATTTATTTTATAACTCTAAGTTTGTATCCCTTAAGCCCCTTCACCCATTTCACACATTTCCCCAAACCCCTTCCCTCTGGCAGCCACCAGTCTTTTCTCTGTATCTGTTACTTGTGTTTTATTTGTTTGTTTTTTTTTAAATTCCATATTAACTGAAGTCATATATTTGTCTTTCTCTGTCTTAACTTCACTTAGCATAATACCCTCATGTCCATCCATGTTGTTGCAAATGGCAAGATTTTCATCATTTTTTATGGCTGAGTAGTATCCCAGTGTATGTGTGTATGTGTGTGTGTAGAGAGAGAGAGAGACCACATATATACATGGGGGTGGGGTGTGCCTGCCAGCTTCAGCAGGACACACCTGCCAATGCTAGCAAAATAAAGGAAGAACACAAAAAATGGCACCTGCCAGCACTTCTGTGCCCAGAGAAAGTCCCAACAGTCCCCTGTCCCTCTGGCAAACACTTTAAGATTAGCAAATGAATGTTTTCTGCATATGGTCTAGGCACTTTCAAACTGCTGCTTTTACCCTGGATCTCAGGGCTGGTGAGTCTGCACACAAGCCCTTCATAAGAGTAGAATCTCCATTCCCTACAGCCTTTTGGGTCTCCTGGACATAAGCCCCATTGGTTTTCAAAGCCAGATACTTTGGCGGCCTGTCTCTCCAGTGCAGTTTCCAAGGGTTGGAGTGCCTGATGTGGAACACAAACCCCTTGCTCCTCAAGAAGGAGATCTCTCCTGATTGTGGGTCTCCACATCAGGGGTGGGGTTTTTGGCAAGAGTATGTCTCTGCCTCTCCTACCCATATCGATGTGTACCTTTTAGTCTTTTATTGTGGAGTTGCTGTTCAACTAGTTTTCAGGTCTTTTTAAGAGGGAACTAATTGTTCCATATATAGCTGAAGATTTGGTGTATCCATGGGAGGAGAGGAGTTGAGGATCTTCCTGTGCCGCCATCTTGAACCACCACAAAAACTGTAGTCTTTAAAAGGATTATTATATGCTCACTCACTCTATGTATGATTAGGGAACTTGTCTTTTTTTATTTATTTTTTAAACTTAATCTCTAATGAAAAAGCCCAGCATTAGCCTAACAGCCTGCAGTTTTAGAGTTTTATTCTCCAAAAAATGTTTGCCTTAAATAAATCAGTAAATAAATAAATAAAAGCATTTGCTTTTGTGTTTGTAATTTTGGGTGTGATAAGGAGACAAAATTTTTTTAAAGTATGTATTGATCCTGTAATTTTGGGAAACAGTATAGTGTAGTGATTAAGAGCACAGACTGCCTGAGTTGACTTTTTAGCTGTATGACCTTGGGTGAGATTTCATCGCCTTTCTATGCCTTAGTTTCCCCCTCTGTAAATTGAGGCTAATAATGATCTGTGCTATAGAGGGTTGTCTTGAGGATGAAATGAACTAATAAATGTATGCAGTACCAAGAAGAATGGCATATAAAGTCAATTAATTTTAGCTACTAGTATTGTTACGTAGAAAATCTTTACACTTCACATCTGCACACAGCATAGTAATAACCCCAGAGTAAGAAAAACTTGATGTACAATCCATAGAAATTTTGACTGTGATAATTTACTTTTATATTTCATTCTATGTAGGACATCCGAGCTTTTGACTCCCGTTTCTCCAATATCAAAACATTGGATGACTTGTTTCCTCCTAGAAGTATGGTCTTTATGCTGGGAACCCCCTATTACGGCTGCGCTGGAGAAGTTAGTTCCTGTTATTGTTACTAATTAAATTTCTTTCTAGTTTTAAGTTAATACAGTTATTTAACTTCTCTTCACTTAGGTATAAGATAAAACGTAATACTGAAGGGGAAAAGATTCATTTGTCTAACTTACGAACACAGTATTTGACTATATATCTTTCATCTTGAGCAGGTTGGGGTCAGGAGGCAGGGGAAAAAGAATTCAAATCCTAATCTCTTATTTAGCAGGTTTATTCATTATGGTAGTGTGGATGAAGCAATTATGAAATTATTTTAGTTGTATTATTGGGTTGATGAACTTGTAAATGAGTTGATATTTGAGGAACTCCAGTTCTCACATGGAAAAAGATACATGTAAATATGAAATGGAAGAATGCAAGGAGGAATCTGTGGGGACAGATTAGAATTGAAGGTATTAATGTGAGCTCATGATTTTTAAAATACATGTGTATACATATATGTATATAGGCACATGTGTATGGATATATATGTATATTTGTATGTGTATGAATGCATATATGCCTGTACATACACATATTTTTTACCTCTGTTTGCTCAAAAGGATAAGGAGCCAAGATACTTCGGTAACAGTGAACACCATATAATCTGCAGGTTTGACCTCTAATAACATACTCCACTGAAAGCTTCTCAGAGAAATGGCCCATTACAGGGCTGGGGCAGGGTAGGTACAGGATAAGCCTGGAACCACTTGTTATGCCAGAAAGTAAGGAAGTGCTCAAAAGAGTGATGGGATCATATCACAAACACAGAAACCTGTTTAAAGGGGCTCCTACCAAACTGGCCAAATCTGGGACAGTTTGAGTACCAAAATAATAAAGTACAGTAATGGATTATAAACCATTGGGGGGGGATAGGAATTAATGATTCCATAGTGATAAAAAAAAGTAAAAGGGAAAGGAAGGGCTCTTGCTTATAGTATCCTGTCAAAGGTAAATGGAGAGAGTGCTAGAGTTGGAAAACTGTCATTTTATAAGCATTACGATAAAGATTGAGTCAAGTAACAATCATCATTGGAAACTAAATCTAGGGGGAATTTTTTATCTGAGTAGGATATTTTCATGGCCTTAGAAAGTGTCTTCCTACAGACCGTTAATTAGTTGTAAGAGGAAAAAAAACCTAACTGGACAGTGAAGAAATTGAGCAATATCATGTACCTCCATATGTGATACCTAAGAAGGATGCATCACCCATGCACTATTCTGGCTGGGAATATATGAGTTTAACTTAATCATAAGGAAGCATCAGACAAATCCAAAATGAGGAACTTTTGTTTTTAAAGGCAGGATAAAGAGGGAAGAATGACCTTATTCTTCAAAAATGTCAATGTTATAAAAGACGAACACTTTGGATATAGTCTAGATTTAAGGAGGCTAGAGCTATGACAACTAAATGCAATGTCTGATCCTAGCCTAGTTTCTGTAGTAGAGGGGGAAAAGGGTTTTCTTTATTATAATATAGGAACAATTTTAGGTCAACTGTGACAAAATTGGAATATGGACAGTTGATTGAAGTATTTTATCAATGTAAATTAATATACTTAGTAACTGTACTGTGGTTATGTAATAAAATATCCTTCTTCTTAGGAAATATACACCAAAATATTAAAAGGTAAGGGACATGACAAACAGAGAAAGACATGTATCATATGATCTCACTGATATGAGGAATTCTTAATTGCAGGAAACAAACTGAGGGTTGCTGGAGTGGGGGGTGGGGTGGGAGGGATGGGGTGACTGGGTGATAGACACTGGGGAGGGTATGTGCTCTGGTAAGCGCTGTGAATTGTGCAAGACTGTTGAATCTCAGATCTGTACCTCTGAAACAAATAATGCAATATATGTTAAGGAAAAAAAAAAGAAGAGGAAGAAGAAGGTAGCGGGAGGGGAAGAATGAAGCGGGGGAAATCGGAGGGGTAGACGAACCATGAGAGACAATGGACTCTGAGAAACAAACTGAGGGTTCTAGAGGGGAGGGGGGTGGGAGGATGGGTTAGCCTGGTGGTGGGTATTGAGGAGGGCACATTCTGCATGGAGCACTGGGTGTTATGCACAAACAATGAATCATGGAACACTTCATCTAAAACTAATGATGTAATGTATGGGGATTAACATAAGAATAAAAAAAAAAAGGTAAGGGACATGATATATGTAATATACCCTCAAAAAGTTCAAAAAAATAATTATGTGTATGTAAATACACAGAGTATAAATGTTGAAGCAGATGGAGTAAAATGTTAACATCTAGGTGAATGTTTTACAAGTGATCTTTGACCTGTTTTTGTGTTTGCAGCTTTTTGGTAATTTAAAATTATTTGCTAACAGCTATTAAAGCAATGTACAATGACTCAAATTTATAATATAATCACATTCATTTATAATTTCTAAGAGAATCTCCAGTATCCAACTTTACTGTCTTACTGTATTTCAGAAATAAACACTGTTCAAATAAGTAGAAAAGTAAATAAAATGTGAAAGAGACTAAAACATACTGTGATTTTCTTTTTCCCTCCAAGGTTCAAGATTCAGGGGATGTGATTACAGAAGGTAGGATTCGTGTGGTTTTCAGCATTCCATGTGAACCCAATCTTGATGCTTTAATACAGAACCAGCATGTGAGTACCATAGTCCATATTGCTTAATTTAGAACTGATAAACTTTAAAAGTGTTAGAAGCATATTTTTATCACCTCCTCTGAATATATTATAAATATTTTTATTTAATACTGATTAAATTATCTCACAGTTGCATCTAGTATTTAAAAATGAGTGTGGGGAATCCGTGCTCAAACTTCATGCAAATGTTCAGGGGAGGGGCGCCTGGGTGGCTCAGGTCATGATCCCAGAGTCCTGGGATCGAGCCCTGAGCCCCGTATCTGGCTCCCTGCTCAGCGGGAAGCCTGCTTCTCCCTCTCCCTCTGCCACTACCCCTGCTTGTGCGCTCTCTCTCTCTCTCAAATAAATAAAAATAAAAATCTAAAAAAAAATGTTCAGGGGAGAAAAATCACTGAAATCCCATTATTAATCTATAATAGTTTTTATGGGTTATCATGTTCAAGCTTAAGAAGGGGCACATTTTTTAGCCCACCCTCTGGGAATAGATTTAGATTTTTTTTAAATAAATTTTTCATAATCAATGCCTACATTTTTAGTTACAAGTAATGGCCTTTCTGCAATGGAAGCTAAAGATGAACAATCACTAGAAAAAATTGGGAAACTGCCTTTAAATTCACAGCATCCTTTTTTAGGACCTTTTTCTCCAAAGACGTTCACTGACCTCCTTTTATTTTTCCCTATTACAATAGGAGGAGGATTCTGATATCTGTTGTATATTCTTATTGATTAACTAGATAATTAATTTGAAATTAATTCACAATCAGCCAGCTATTGATACTTACACTTTTATTCTCTCTAATTGTAAATTCTAAAGCTTTATATCCTGTAAAATGAACTCAAGGCATTGAACATCAGCATATACTTGAGGAAACTTTATGGAAGGCAGACAAGTCCCTAAATTCTTACCATCAGGTGTCTTTTGGAGAAAGAATTCAGAAAGCACAGTCAGGAAACCAGAAGAGTGTCCCATTTGATTAAGATGCTGGAGCTCTCTGTTCTGGGAGTTAGTGGAGGTAGAGCAACTTATTTATGTTCCTTCATCCCTAGCTTTTTCTAGATCTGAATGAGCCTGCCCATCTCCAACGTACAGTGTTGCTAGGCATGCCTTCTCCACTATGCTCTCTTTCTCTTTACATACTTTCTTTAACTTTTACTCAAGCCTTCTTTCTCTACTCCAGTGTTCTCTGCTTTTTATTTACATTTTCTAGAATATTTGTGATGGTCTTCATCAATTTTAATTATGCCATAACCAAATACTTCTCAAAAGGAATACCATTGGTATTTTGGATAGGACAACAATGTATAAAATAGGACTGTCCTATATATGGCAGCATAGTTGGCATCTTTGTCCCCTGAACACGAAGAGGTAGTAGCCCATGCCAATAACTGAATGATGTGCCCCTATACATTTCCAGATGCTTAGTAGAAAAATAGGTGATACTACCTGTGATAGAGAACTACTACCTTATTTCTTCCTATCTATTCTGGAAAGCATATTTGATTTGTCTGTATTATTTCTAAACCTAATAATACTCTTGATGGAAAAACTATATTGCATTCTTTACTAGGATATTAACATATTTTAATAATGAATTTATATATTCCATGCAGCTAAAAAAATTTACTTATTTGGGGGTTATTGTAGACATATAAAATATGCATATAATTCATATAAATATGTATTATATTTATACACATTCATATGAATATAGTATATGAAATCCATATAAAATAAGTGTGTGTCATTATTATGTACATTATGTTAGGGTTATATGGTAACTTACCCTTTTTGGTACTGGATTTATAATTTGCTTCCTGGTTAAAAATTATATGATATGATATATTTTTTTTAATCTTCATAGTTTCTTCCCTTAAGTACACAAATTAAGGTTATATTTCTTTGACTGTATTAACTATAAGCCTATACATACTTCTTACTTTCATATGATAGTAAATATAAGGGAAAATATTACTTATATTCATATATGAAGAACATTTTTAATTTTGCTCAGTAGCAACTGTTTTGATGACATACTCATGTTTTAGTTCAATGTAATAATCATCAAGGCCTCATTATGTCCCAGTACTTTACTAATCCTTACTTGGAATATGAAAATCAATGTTTAAAAATAGTTCTTGCCTGCAGAGTTTGCCATTTAGACTTACAGTAGACTTTATTTCTTGAGACAGTTTCACAAATTGTATATTTCCTCCCCCTTTCATCCATCCTTGGGAATTCTGTCCTTTAAGGAGAGAGAGGAGCAGAAAAATTCTGCCTACAGATCCTTTCAAAAAAAAAAAAAGGGAAATGGATCACTTACTTTTGAGAATCCTTATATTGCCACATTCCAATGGTTAGTGATGTCTTGATTATCTCCAGATTTTAAAGGTAAAGAAATAACATTTGATGCTTTGTGTTTCCATAATTGACCTTTTTGTTTTTATATTTAAAGAAATATTCTATAAAGTACAACCCAGGATATGTGTTGGCCAGTCGTCTTGGAGTGAGTGGATACCTTGTTTCAAGGTTTACAGGAAGTATTTTTATTGGAAGAGGATCTAGGAGAAAGTAAGTTTATGTTAGAGAAATGTATTTAAAGTGGCAGAAAAAATTAAATGATAAAGATAAACTGGTTAATATTTTAGTATTTTCTTTTATTAATTGCTCTGAATTTTCTTTAAAAATTATGCATAAATTCCTCTGATGGTGATCTTTCATCTAAATGGGACATGTTTTAGGTGTTTGGAAAAGACAGTTCCTATTTTTAGCAGCTAACAAATTGAACCTTGAAAAAAGGTATCAGAAGGTGTGTGTGAATCTCAATAATATATTTCCTGCATTTTCTTATTTCATTCTCTTCTCTAGATACATAACCTATTTATATGATTTGTTAACTTGGGTTTCAAAGCCTTACTGCTACTTTGGAAATAACCATGAAAACTATAGAACAATCAAAACTAAATTTTTCTAAGAATTTTTTGAAAGCAAAACTTTTTGTATTCTTTGAACAAAATTTTAAAACGTGTGTGTGTGTGTGTGTGTGTGTGTGTGTGTGATTTAAATTCAGCCCTCATGGAGACCATAAAGCAAATGTGGGTTTGAATCTCAAATTCAACAAAAAAAATGAGGAGGTACCTGGATATACCAAGAAAGTTGGAAGTGAGTGGATGTATTCATCTGCAGCAGAACAGCTTCTTGCAGAGTACTTAGAGAGGTAAGTGCCTAACAAGATTCTACTAAGCATCCCAAAAATGTGGAATGTAATAACTATTTTGCTTTTGCTGATACCAATTTTAGACAAAAAAATGTTTCCTTTGGTAAATAATGTGACATATTACATATAAACTTAATTTTATATCATGGAGCATCATAGCTATTAGCTAAAAGAAAATAGAAAAATACTGTATATTATTTATTTTATTTTTTATTTTATTATGTTAATCACCATACATTACATCATTAATTTTTGATGTAGTGTTCCATGATTCATTGTTTGCGTATAACACCCAGTGCTCTATTCAGTAACGTGCCCTCTTTAATACCCATCACCAGGCTAACCCATCCCCTCTAGAACCCTCATTTTTTTTTTTAGAGTCCATAGTCTCTCATGGTTCATCTCCCCCTGCGATTTCCCCCCATTCATTTTTCCCTTCCTGCTATCTTCTTTTTTTTTAAACATATAATGTATTATTTGTTTCAGAAATGAAAAAAAGATGAGAATTGGCCTCCTTTTATCTTTTTTTAATTTTTAATTTTTATTTATTTATTTATTTATTTATTTAAGTAATCTCTATACTCAGTATGGGGCTTGAACCTACAACCCTGAGATCAAGAGTTGCACTCTCCACCAACTAAGCCAGCCAGGTGCCCCTTGGCCTCCTTTTAATGAAAATTTTCCTTAACTTGCTATCATAAATTATTCACTACTTTGCATGTCTAAGTAGTAAGAGGATTGGTATGGATAAACAAAACAACTCTTCACACAGTGGATTTTCTGAATCTTAAAACTCCAACCAGATAATAGGTTACTGTCCTAAAATTACTGAATTTTATGCTGAAATGGTCTAAGAAATCAATAAATCTCAGCTCCTCATTATAAAAATGAGAAAACTGTGTACTGAGATTAACTGAGTTACTCAGTGACAAAGATTTATAGGGAAAACGTTTACTTCTCATTCACAATTGAATATTCATTCCTTTGTTCTACTGGTTTCTAACCTTGTATTTGAGGATCCTCTTAGTTTACTAGGGCTGCCATAATGAAGTAGCACAAACTGGATGGCTTAAAACAACAGAAATTTATTGTCTCACAATTCTGGAGACCAGAAGTCCAAAACCAAGGTGTTTGGTAGGGCTGTGCTTCCTTTGAAGATGATAGGAAAGGAACCATTCCATGCCTCTTTGCTAGCTTCTTGTGGCCTCACACATTTGTTCTTAACTCAGTCCTCCACCTTCCCGTGTTCTCCCTGTACATCTTCACATGATCTTTTCTCTGTTAATGCCTATCTCTGTGTCCAAATTTCCTCTTTTCATAAAGACACTTCATAAAGATAGAAAAATCTTGTTAGATTAGGGCCCACCCTAAAGGCCTCATTTTTATTTTATAACCTCAATAAAAACCTTATTTTCAAATAAAGTCACATTCTGAAAGTAGTAGGAGTGGGACTTCAATCTGTCTTTTTTGGGAAGGAACGTAATTCAATCCTATATTACCATCTGAAAATTTATTTCTTTTGTTCACTTCCATATTTCTTTCAAATGTTGTATTTATCCTACTTTTTCATTATTTTTCAACTTGACATATGCATTGATTTCATACCATGAAAGATGAAGCTTTAGCTCTCTTCTGCTACCTACCCTTTCTCTTTCCTCACCTTCCTGCACATTACACACACGTGTGTGTGTATTTCCCCTTTCATTATAGTTGTATTAAATCTGTATTTAAGGTTTACTTGATTGAGATAATGTAAATGGTCACAGGTGGACCCTGTAGAGTATTATGGTTGCATTTCCTTTCTGTACACATTTTTGTTTTCCCCCTCTTGTTTAATCATTTGCTTATTGTCTATATTCATATAACTAATTCAGCCCTAAACTCTTGGTCATAGCTGAAAGACTTAATATAGTCAAACACATCAGGAGATCTCTCAATTCCATTTTTTTTCTTATAGACTTCCTCCTTGAAACCTTCTGTCTTCCTGCTTCAGTGTAAACTAATTGTTTTCTAGGGCTATTACACAGCTCTCATTCTAGAGCTTCTCTCTACTGTCTAGGAATTCCCTTCACCATTCTGCTTTGTAGGATTCCTTTATTTCCTGGCTTTCATACCTTTTTCTGTTTTATGTCTCCAGTTTGATGGAGCACTTAATCTGGTAGCTTCCTGAGAGAGCTTGTGTGTCTGGAAATGTCTTTATTCTTCCCTGACCAGGGTTGATTGATAGCTGGCCTGGGTGTAGAATCCTAAATTGGAGATTATTTTCCCTCAGAATTTGAAAAGTACTGCTCTATTCTTTTTTTGTTTCCTTTGCTGGTGAGAAGTCCTGTGCCATTGTGATTCGGAATCTTTGTGTGTGATCCATTTTCATTTTCTGAAATCTTTTCAGAATCTTCCCTTTACCAGTGCTGTTTTAATAATGTGATGACGTGTACCTTAGTATGGGTCTTCTTTCTTTCCTTTGGCTATTCAGTCCTTTCACACTTAAAACTGATGACCTTCCATTCTGAGAAAACTTCTTGTATTATTTCTTTGATAATTTCCTCCTCTCCTTTTTTTCTGTTCTGTCTTTCTGAGACTTCTGTTAGATGATAGACCTGGATTAATCCTCTTTACTTTCTTATCTCTTCTCACCCATTTTCTATATTGTTACACTTCTGTTCTACTCTGTGGGAGAGTTCTTCAACTTATATCATTTTTATTTTTATTTGATTTAATCATTTTTAATTTCTAAAAGTGTGTCCTTTTTCTCTGACATTCCTTTTTTATAGTGTCTCTTTCTCTGAAGATCGTTTTTCTTCTCTATATTTTCTGTTTTCTCCACATTGCTCTTTTTTTTCTGTTTGATTTCATTGCACCTTTCACATTAAAGTTTTGTTTTGTTTTGTTTTTTACTTGTCTGCTGGTTCTTTGGTGTCTAATCATATTTAAGAATGAGGCACTAAAAAGCTGATTGGAAATTTAGTGTGCTCTGGTGGGGCTTGTCAGGTGGGACTTTGCTATTTCTGCAAAGGACCTCCAGCTATCACTACCTGTATGTGTATATTTTCTCTCAGGCTGGCTAGTTTTCCTAGAGAGGTAGCCTCCAGCCTTTTCCTTGGAGGACAGATGTGAGGAACAAAACTGACTTCCAGTGTTTTGGATATTAACCAAGGTAAAGGGAACTTATTATGTAATGGATACTATGAAATGCCCTCCAAACCTCCCTTTAAAGGACTTATTTCTATGGCAGCTTAAATGCTGTTGTCTGACAGCCCTCAGCTGTGAGCTCTCTTCAGGAATTGCCTTGCAGAAGAGAACTGCCTCACCTAAAGTTATATCCCCTTCCCACAACAGCCACAGATCCAACACCTGATCTGCAAGGAGGTGTGAAAGACCCAGCCGACCTGATTGCCCCAGTTCAGGATAAATCTGAAGGGCCATCCTAGTTTGAGATCTCTGTAGGACTGACCAAGGAGTTCATTAACAGTGGATCACAGCCCAACTTCTCCCTCTGCCCAATTCTGCTTCCTTCCTTTTTTCCTTCCCTTCTACATGTTTTGATTCCACAAGAGCTCGCTGATAAACTTTCTTCTTGCTTACTTTCATCTCAAGAGTGTGCTTCCTAAAGAAGTTACACTTCCTAGCCTGCTTCCTAGCAACATGTTATTTAGTAGTTACACTTTCATTAATTCCCTATCATCTCTTCATGCCCTACCCACCTGTCTCCCTGTGCCTTGTATACCTAAAGCTAGAGCATCCCCTGTTCAACCTCTCCAAAAGATAAACTACAGACAGATCTTATGCTGGGGTGAAGGTGAGTAAGCACATGATCATCCAACTGCTTATTATACAAAATTTTCAACTAAAGCCTAGTAAACTTCACCCTGCCCATTCTACGGCATTAAAATGTACCTGGAGCCCGTAATTCCTGCGCTTTTGCAGACTTGCACAGTTTAAATTATCTTGTTTGTTATTGACTTCCCACCCTGGTTGCTTAGGGTGCAGCTTTTTCCTATCTTTCAAACCAGTTAATGCTTACCCATCCAGTTTCCAGTTTCTAAAATTTTGTTAACAACTCATATATGGTATCAGACTCACCACCTCTCTTTTCATGCCTTTCTGGGTCTATGCCCTGTTTTATACTTTACTCTATTTTTAGTAGGTTGGGAAGTAAGCAAAAAATTAAGCACATAATGTTCAATCTGCTATGTGTATTTAAAAGTCCTGCACTATTCAGGAAGCAGTGGAGTTTTGAGGAATATCAAAAGAAACTTCTAGTGTATTTTAATTTTCTTTATTGTGGGATGCTCCAGTTTAGTTGTGAAAATTAGAAAATGAACATGTAGGTATTATTTTTGTCCATTTATCACCTATCATTATGATCTGAGAACGATTAGAGTTAGTAATTGAATAAGTAATTAAAGTTTATTACAGTTTATGAATTGAATCATTTCTCCCTCAGCTACTGAAAGTTTTTTGAGGGCCTGTGAATACTTTCAAATCATTTAGTCTCTATCCCTTATTAATACTCTGTGTGTTACAATCAGTCCTCAATATGTTTTATATGTCCCCTTGGGATCCAGAATTATTTGATGGGGAAGTTTATGTGAAGTTAGCCATATATATTTTCTAAGCAGTATTTTTGTTTGTTTGGCTAGAGCTCCAGAACTATTTAGTTATATAGCCAAAAATAGCCAAGAGGATGTATTCTATGAAGATGACATTTGGCCTGGAGAAAATGAGAACGGGTAAGCAAAATTTGTGGTATTTATTGGCTCATAGTTCAGCTTAGTGTTCCAGTGAAAGGTACAGTAGCTAGTTTATCAAGAATTTATTACTTTTGTGAGGAGGGTTTTATATATATATATATATAATTATATATATTTGCTTTAAGATCTTCATATAATTTATTTCACTTATATCAGTAAAGTACTTTTAAACTAATTTTGTGGGTTTTTTTAAGTTACTGAGAACTAATATGTCCATGTTCACATTAGATTTATAACTAGTCCCAATTAAAATGTTTAGTGATTAATTATTATTTATGTATTTTATGTCTTTTATAAGTCACAGCCGTCAGGAACTTTATATTAGGCCTTTTGTATAAAACCTCAAAGTTTTAATCATTGTGAAAAAATTATTGTTTTTAATGTAGTGCTGAGAAAGTTCAAGAAATTATTACTTGGCTAAAGGGACATCCTGTCAGTACTTTGTCTCGTTCTTCTTGTGATTTACAAATTCTGGATGCAGCTATTGTTGAGAAAATTGAGGAAGAAGTCGAAAAGTGCAAGGTACTAATTTTCGATAACCCAAGATGCTTGATGAGATTTGAAGTTAAATGGACTGTATATCATCCTACAAATAATTTTGTTTCAACCAAATAAACATGAACTCAGTGATTTTAATTTATGTCAGGTAATCCTTTAGTTTTAAAAAAAGTTCCAGCCATTTCCAGTGGCCATTAATAAGTTTATCTGAATAAAAAGAAATGCACTTTAATATATAAAAGCTATAACATTTAAATTTTATGTCCTAATGATGTTTCTAATTTTAGGAATTAATATTCTGTAATTCTAGCCAAAATACAAAGTTTGTGATTAAGGAAGAAGGTTAATCCCCTCTGCCTTCTTATTCTAAGTTCTTTAAAGACATAGTTCTTTTTATAGAACATAAACATTGTGTTTAGTTCACTTTTACAGAATCTCTTCTAAAGTGTACTTTCCCACCCACAAACACATTCAATATTTTTTAAATCCTGTTTAATCTTTCCTATTTTTTTATGTCTTGATTTTGAAAAACAATAATCTTCCGTATAGGCTTAACTGTTTTACTTATTTTGATCCTCTATCTTGATATAATGGAAAATGAATTGATTATATTCCCTTTTTTAACTTTTGATTTTATTTTCCACACATTTGCCTTTTTATTAAAATGATGTTGCATTGCATGGAGCACTGGGTGTTATGCACAAACAATGAATCATGGAACACTTCATCTAAAACTAATGATGTAATGTATGGGGATTAACATAAGAATAAAAAATAAATAAATAAATAAATAAATGAAAAATGATGTTGCATTGCTAACACAGCAGTCTAATAGCAAACTAAGTTAAGAAATGGGCTCTGAAGCCATTTTCCCCCATTTCTCTTTCAATACTTTTAACCTTAGGCAAGATACTTAAGATACTTACTTTTACTTTCCATGCCTCTATTTCCTCACTGGTAAAATGAGAATAAAACAGTACTACTTCATAGGGTCATCGAAAGGATTAACTAAGTTAAAGCATGTAAACTCCTTCTAATAATGCCTGTTTTTAATGCCTAACAATGCTTGGCTATTATTATTTGAATTCTCTTATCACATATTCAAGAGCTGTGAAGACAGTCTGGAAAATTACTACTGGATGACTCTTTTTCTCTTTAGGAAAAAATATACGGCTTAGAGCCAAGAGTTTGATTATTTTTTTTTTTTATTCTTTTTTTTTTTTTTTTGAGATTTTATTTATTTATTTGAGAGAGAGAATGAGAGACAGAGAGCATGAGAGGGAGGAGGGTCAGAGGGAGAAGCAGACTCCCCGCCGAGCAGGGAGCCCGATGCGGGACTCGATCCCGGGACTCCAGGATCATGACCTGAGCCGAAGGCAGTCGCCCAACCAACTGAGCCACCCAGGCGCCCAAGAGTTTGATTATTTGAAAGGTCACTGATACTCAGATAAGGATAGAAACCTGCATTTCATTTTTTTTTAACCGGCATTTCTTTTTGTCTTTCAACCTAGAGTAAAATCCATTTGTACAGCATTGTTTTTGAAATGAGTTTTCCACCTAATAAAAGTTTATTACTCTAAGCCCCCAAATTTTATTTTGATGCTTGAGAGTCTCCATTTCTAACAAGCTCCCAGATGATCACATTTTGAATAGCCAGACCCAGAACTTTTCATTTCGTAGCTGTGGGTTGGAGCCTATTGTGAAAATTCCTGAGTTTATTAATTTGCTTAATGAATCGGGTTTGATTGCCCTGTCTTCTAATCAGTGCTATAATGTAGTAATGCCTAGAGATGTATTAAAGCATATGGGTTGTTTGTTTTTTTTCATATACAGAACTCCAGGCATAAGTTTGGGGTCTGCTTTTTAAAATTACTTAAAATACTTATTTTTACTCCTTCTTGCTGTTATCAGGGGGCACAAATTGTACCCTATTAGTCCTAGTCTGCTGTGGGCTGAAAGCATAGACATCCTGTCAGTACTGCCTTCACTATTCATTTTATTTAAAACTGCGATCTCTCTCTCCACAGTGCTGATCCCCCTTCCCTGCTTTATTTTTCTCTATGCTTTTTACCTTCAAACATTTGTTGCTTGTATGTCTCCCTAAGTAAAGGAACAGGTTACTGTTTTATACTTAGCACCTAGATCAATACATGGCACATAAATGTAACTCAGTAAAGATTTGTTGAAAGAATAAATGAAATGCCTTTATAGTAAAAGATAATAGGGTCTGTTTAAAGTCTTGAGCATTTTATAATATATAAATACATGAACTCTGTAGTGTATGGTCTCTATAGCTTGGAGTTGTTTTATTCTCTTTTGTACTTATTTCCATAAGGTATGTTCTAAAGATAGGTGGCTGCAAAATAAGTAAACTGTTGCCGTTTGTCTTAGTTGGTAAGAATTCACTTAAAAATATTTAATGTGAAGGGGGGTAGTTATGGATTGCAATGGATATAAACTATTCTCATGGTTTTATTAGGTAGAACAGGTAATGTTATTTCTATTTTACAGTAGAAGGAGGCTGATGCTTAAGGTGAGTGTGAGTTCACAAAATTGACAAGGAGTAAAGATGGGACAGAACTCTTCTTCCAGCATTTGTTACATGATCAAAAAATTCAGACATCAAAGCCAATTTCATAAGAGATTCCAAAAGCTAGGGCTTTATTAAATCAGTGCCACCTTAATTTTTATAAGTAGCCATAAAACCCACAGTATTGTCATAGATCAGTACTTTATACTTTTTTTTCTTTTAATATAGATCTTCATTGACCATCATGTACAATTCTTTTTAGAGTAAAAAAGAGTAAAAAAGCATTTGAATAGGATAACATTTACATAAAGTTCTAAACAATTTAATCTTTTGTTAGCAGTAAGGTTACTTTGGGGAAGGTAGTAGTAACTGGGAAGGAATACAGGAGTTCTTATGTTGTGCTTAGTAATGTTCTCTTTCTTGAACTCAGCATGGTTATACATAGATAGGCTCATACTATAAAAATTCATCAGGCTGTATACATACAATTTCGCATTTTTCTATGGCTTATACTTCAACAAAAAATTTAACTTTAAAAAAATTTTAAGGGGCACCTGGGTGGCTCAGTTGCTTAAGCATCTGCCCTCGGCTCAGGTCATGATCTTGGGGTCTTGGGATCAAGCCCTGGGTCAGGCTCCCCGCTCAGCAGGGAGCCTTCTTCCTCCTTTCCCTCTGCCTCTCCCACTGCTTATGCGCTCTCTCTCTCAAATAAATAAATAAAACCTTTAAAATTTTTGTAAGGAAAATAGGTTTTATGTATTTATTTACTTATTTTTAAGTTTTTATTTGTTTATTTTTTGACACAGAGAGAGAGAGCGAGCACAAGCAGGGGGAGCCGTAGGCAGAGGGAGAGGGAGAAGCAGGCTTCCTGCTGAGCAGGGAGCCCGATACGGGACTCGATCCCAGAACCCTGGGACCATGACCTGAGCCAAAGGCAGATGCTTAACGACTGAGCCACCCAGGTGCCCCCCCAATTTTTTTTTTTTAAGATATTTATTTATTTGAG